TTGCACTCAGGTCTAAGTCTCATGGCCCTCTATCAGAATCCAGAGTTTTGGGAAGATTGGAGAAACTTAATTTTTCGCCCAAAAAAAAAAAACGTAAGGGGTACCACTGTCGTTTTTTTTTCGGGCCGAAATTTTGAGTTTCGATATCTCAGCTCTGGAAGGGGCTAGAGCCTCCATTTTTGCACTCAGGTCTAAGTCTCATGGCCCTCTATCAGAATCCAGAGTTTTGGGAAGATTGGAGAAACTTAATTTTTCGCCCAAAAAAAAAAACGTAAGGGGTACCACTGTCGTTTTTTTTTCGGGCCGAATTTTTGAGTTTCGATATCTCAGCTCTGGAAGGGCTAGAGCCTCCATTTTTGCACTCAGGTCTAAGTCTCATGGCCCTCTATCAGAATCCAGAGTTTTGGAAGATTGGAGAAACTTAATTTTTCGCCCAAAAAAAAAAAACGTAAGGGGTACCACTGTCGTTTTTTTTTTCGGGCCCAATTTTTGAGTTTCGATATCTCAGCTCTGGAAGGGGCTAGAGCCTCCATTTTTGCACTCAGGTCTAAGTCTCATGGCCTCTATCAGAATCCAGAGTTTTGGGAAGATTGGAGAAACTTAATTTTTCGCCCCAAAAAAAAACGTAAGGGGTACCACTGTCGTTTTTTTTTTCGGGGCCAATTTTTGAGTTTCGATATCTCAGCTCTGGAAGGGGCTAGAGCCTCCATTTTTGCACTCAGGTCTAAGTCTCATGGCCCTCTATCAGAATCCAGAGTTTTGGGAAGATTGGAGAAACTTAATTTTTCGCCCAAAAAAAACGTAAGGGGTACCACTGTCGTTTTTTTTTTCGGGCCGAATTTTGAGTTTCGATATCTCAGCTCTGGAAGGGGCTAGAGCCTCCATTTTTGCACTCAGGTCTAAGTCTCATGGCCCTCTATCAGAATCCAGAGTTTTGAGAAGATTGGAGAAACTTAATTTTTCGCCCAAAAAAAAAACGTAAGGGGTACCACTGTCGTTTTTTTTTTTCGGGTCGAATTTTTGAGTTTCGATATCTCAGCTCTGGAAGGGGCTAGAGCCTCCATTTTTGCACTCAGGTCTAAGTCTCATGGCCCTCTATCAGAATCCAGAGTTTTGGGAAGATTGGAGAAACTTAATTTTTCGCCCAAAAAAAAAAAAACGAAGGGGTACCACTGTCGTTTTTTTTCGGGCCGAAATTTTGAGTTTCGATATCTCAGCTCTGGAAGGGCTAGAGCCTCCATTTTTGCACTCAGGTCTAAGTCTCATGGCCCTCTATCAGAATCCAGAGTTTTGGAAGATTGGAGAAACTTAATTTTTCGCCCAAAAAAAAAAAACGAAAGGGTACCACTGTCGTTTTTTTTTCGGGTCGAATTTTTGAGTTTCGATATCTCAGCTCTGGAAGGGTCTAGAGCCTCCATTTTTGCACTCAGGTCTAAGTCTCATGGCCCTCTATCAGAATCCAGAGTTTGAGAAGATTGGAGAAACTTAATTTTTTCCCCCCAAAAAAAAAAACGTAAGGGGTACCACTGTCGTTTTTTTTTCGGGCCGAATTTTTGAGTTTCGATATCTCAGCTCTGGAAGGGGCTAGAGCCTCCATTTTTGCACTCAGGTCTAAGTCTCATGGCCCTCTATCAGAATCCAGAGTTTTGGGAAGATTGGAGAAACTTAATTTTTCGCCCCAAAAAAAAACGTAAGGGGTACCACTGTCGTTTTTTTTCGGGCCGAATTTTTGAGTTTCGATATCTCAGCTCTGGAAGGGCTAGAGCCTCCATTTTTGCACTCAGGTCTAAGTCTCATGGCCCTCTATCAGAATCCAGAGTTTTGGAAGATTGGAGAAACTTAATTTTTCGCCCCAAAAAAAAAACGTAAGGGGTACCACTGTCGTTTTTTTTTTCGGGCCCAATTTTTGAGTTTCGATATCTCAGCTCTGGAAGGGGCTAGAGCCTCCATTTTTGCACTCAGGTCTAAGTCTCATGGCCCTCTATCAGAATCCAGAGTTTTGGAAGATTGGAGAAACTTAATTTTTCGCCAAAAAAAAAAAACGTAAGGGGTACCACTGTCGTTTTTTTTTTCGGGCCCAATTTTTGAGTTTCGATATCTCAGCTCTGGAAGGGGCTAGAGCCTCCATTTTTGCACTCAGGTCTAAGTCTCATGGCCCTCTATCAGAATCCAGAGTTTTGGGAAGATTGGAGAAACTTAATTTTTCGCCCAAAAAAAAAAAACGTAAGGGGTACCACTGTCGTTTTTTTTTTTCGGGCCAATTTTTGAGTTTCGATATCTCAGCTCTGGAAGGGGCTAGAGCCTCCATTTTTGCACTCAGGTCTAAGTCTCATGGCCCTCTATCAGAATCCAGAGTTTTGGAAGATTGGAGAAACTTAATTTTTCGCCCCAAAAAAAAAACGTAAGGGGTACCACTGTCGTTTTTTTTTTCGGGCCCAATTTTTGAGTTTCGATATCTCAGCTCTGGAAGGGGCTAGAGCCTCCATTTTTGCACTCAGGTCTAAGTCTCATGGCCCTCTATCAGAATCCAGAGTTTGGGAAGATTGGAGAAACTTAATTTTTCACATCAAAAAAAAAACGTAAGGGGTACCACTGTCGTTTTTTTTTTCGGGCCGAATTTTTGAGTTTCGATATCTCAGCTCTGGAAGGGCTAGAGCCTCCATTTTTGCACTCATGTCTAAGTCTCATGGCCCTCTATCAGAATCCAGAGTTTTGAGAAGATTGGAGAAACTTAATTTTTCGCTTAAAAAAAAAACGAAAGGGGTACCACTGTCGTTTTTTTTTTTTTGGGTCGAATTTTTGAGTTTCGATATCTCAGCTCTGGAAGGGTCTAGAGCCTCCATTTTTGCACTCAGGTCTAAGTCTCATGGCCCTCTATCAGAATCCAGAGTTTTGAGAAGATTGGAGAAACTTAATTTTTCGCCCAAAAAAAAAAAACGAAAGGGTACCACTGTCGTTTTTTTTGGGTCGAAATTTTGAGTTTCGATATCTCAGCTCTGGAAGGGCTAGAGCCTCCATTTTTGCACTCAGGTCTAAGTCTCATGGCCCTCTATCAGAATCCAGAGTTTTGAGAAGATTGGAGAAACTTAATTTTTCGCCCCCAAAAAAAAAACGTAAGGGGTACCACTGTCGTTTTTTTTTCGGGTCGAAATTTTGAGTTTCGATATCTCAGCTCTGGAAGGGTCTAGAGCCTCCATTTTTGCACTCAGGTCTAAGTCTCATGGCCCTCTATCAGAATCCAGAGTTTTGAGAAGATTGGAGAAACTTAATTTTTCCCCCCAAAAAAAAAAAAACGAAAGGGGTACCACTGTCGTTTTTTTTTTTGGGTCGAAATTTTGAGTTTCGATATCTCAGCTCTGGAAGGGTCTAGAGCCTCCATTTTTGCACTCAGGTTTAAGTCTCATGGCCCTCTATCAGAATCCAGAGTTTTGAGAAGATTGGAGAAACTTAATTTTTCGCCCGAAAAAAAAAACAAAGGGGTACCACTGTCGGTTTTTTTTTGGGGTCGAATTTTGAGTTTCTATATCTCAGCTCTGGAAGGGTCTAGAGCCTCCATTTTTGCACTCAGGTTTAAGTCTCATGGCCCTCTATCAGAATCCAGAGTTTTGAGAAGATTGGAGAAACTTAATTTTTCGCCCGAAAAAAAAAAACGTAAGGGGTACCACTGTCGTTTTTTTTTTCGGGTCGAAATTTGAGTTTCGATATCTCAGCTCTGGAAGGGTCTAGAGCCTCCATTTTTGCACTCAGGTCTAAGTCTCATGGCCCTCTATCAGAATCCAGAGTTTTGAGAAGATTGGAGAAACTTAAATTTTCGCCCAAAAAAAAAACGAAGGGGTACCACTGTCGTTTTTTTTTTCGGGCGAAAATTTTGAGTTTCTCCAATCTTCTCAGCTCTGGATTCTGATAGAGGGCCATGAGATTAGACCTAAGGTCAAAATGGGGCTCTACCCTTCCAGAGCTGAGAGATTTGAGACTTATTTATGTAAAAAAAAAAAATCCGAAAGGGTGTCCATTGTCAGGTTTTAAAGTCCATTAAATCCTAACAATCTCACCTCGGAGGGGCTAGACCCGCTTATATTTTTTTTTTTTTTTTTTTTTTTCTTTAAATAAAGTCTCTGAGTGTTTTTACTGCCCATTTCGTGTTTTTTTTTTTTTTCGTGTTTAGATATTACATAGCCAGGCTATGTAATATCTAACTAACGTTAGATGTTTGTTTTGATAGAGCAAATTGTTAACAGATACTTTGGCTGCCTGTTGCTATGGTTACTCACAGCTGTTGTAGGCAGCACATTTATTTATTAATTTCGAATGGTAAACAGGCAGTTTCACCAGAACTACTTTACTAGGTGTCCTCTATCACTTTTTAACGGACACCCTGCAGCCAATCAGAATCGAGTATTCACCCAGACCATGGTATAAAATGGCATAAATGCTACGTGGGATCTAGACTCAGGTCTAGTCCCATGGCCCTCTATCAGAATCCAGAGTTTCAAGAAGGTCAGAGAAACTCAAGATTTCGACCCCCCCCCAAAAAAAAAAAAAAAAAAACGACACCGACAAAAAAATACGTTTCTCCAATCTTCTTGAAACTCTGGATTCTGATAGAGGGCCATGGGACTTAGACCTGAGTGCAAAAATGGAGGCTCTAGACTAGAATATGAGTATGACGAAGTCAGGCTAGAAAACATCAGCAATTTATGGAGCAATTTGTTACATTCCGATAAAAGATTATGTGAATCTGAAGAAACAACGTGGGAACTGTGCAGCGATGCTCATTTAAGATGAAATAAGCTACAGTAGGCCTATCGAATGCATTTCTGAGTGTGATGCATTTTTTTTGTTTAAAACATATTTCCAAAAGAACCCAGACAGCAACAGGCGGAGTGTGTGCTGTCTGTACATCCTCTGTACACCACTGTCAGACACAACTCTCTTTCTCTCTCTGTGTGTGTGTCTGTGTGTTTCTCTTTCAGCTGGTCAATAAGGCAAAAAGGCAGGCATATATTTGATAAATCCATTTTAATGGAAAATGTAAAACCCCTTTGAACTTCAATGTACAAAGCATGTAACACTTGCACTTTAAAATTTGAAATTGAAGCAAGCCATGTTTAAAAAAATACATCAGTGAATGTATATATGTATATATTTACACAGCATAGTACGATTTCCTTTTTCCATTGAACTTCAAAAGTTCACCATAGTAAATCTGAACATAAAAAGAGAGAAATGAGTTTTCTTAAATAAATTACAACTTTTTTTTTGTAAATGTCTCCATTTTACAGTGAATACTTCTTAATAAAATGCTGAAGTGTTATTTATTAAGTCTTTCTTTACATTATAGAACTTTACAATGTTTACAATTGTTTGGCAGTTCTTTTTCTCAAAAGATATGGCATGAGGACATGATACAGCGGATCTCTCTCACAGTAACTCCAAGTCTCCAAAGTAGTGAGCGGCATCAGAAATCCATTAGCAAACTGTACAGGTCACATTTACATTTGATCGAGAACAGAGCAGAACTCCTGAAAATAAATACGATTCTCCACTGAAACTATACAGTAGGAAAGAACGAAAGGGGAACGAAAGCAAACAGACGAACAAACACTAGTTGTGACAGCGGCGCTGTCGGATTATCTTCAGGTGTGTGGCGTGTCGGTCACGGTCATCCTGATGGGCTATACTGCTATGGTGTCGGTAACAAATAAATACAGTTTCCTGGTGTGTGTTTTTTCTTCTTGGCACTGGAGGTTTGCGGTGTGAGCGTTAGTGTGCATATTTGGGGGAACGTGTCGACGGGTGTCATGAGTTGGTCTCCTCTTCCTCTTCCTCCTCTGCACAGCAGCTCTTTAACGTTCCCACGGCATTCTTCACGCAGTGGTAAAAGATGTTCTTGACCTGAGAGAAAGGGCAGGATGAGAGGTGAGAGATTGAAGAGTGATGAATGCTCATCTGGCCCACTGGGACTCTTATTTTAAAATGCTATTTCTGTTTTGTTTTTTGTTTTTTTGGGGGGGGGGGGGGGGGGGGGTTGGCCCCTTAAAAAAATTTTAAGATAGTCACAGAGCCCGTCTAACAGAGAGCCTTAGCACTTCCTATTAGCCCCATTGTGTATCATCTTGGTTGCAGTTCCATTAGAATTCCACTGGAGGTGATCGCGGGCGAGTGCAGAATGAATGGGAGTCTATGGAGCTAAACGGCTAAATGTGTCTCTTTCTCCTGCTTGTTGTTGAATCAACATAGATTTTATTGTTGATTCCGCAAGTTCTATATAGATTATAGGCCAAAAGTCGAATGAACGAGCACTTATTTCCTTTTGATTTCTTACAGGTTAGGCTGTTGTTGGCCGGAACACGCTAGCATTCTGTCATCACATTTTTGAACGGATTTTTAGAACAGATAAGTGAACTTAAAAATGCAATTTTCAGCTGAGTGTATTATCTTAACCCTCCCTTTTGAATGCAACTTTCAAATTACTTGGCAAAAAAATTACATTCTGGGAAAAGTGGATTTCTGGGGGTGAAACCCCACAGACTCCCATTTATTCTGCACTCAACCACGAGCGCCCCCGCATGGACAGAGACATGTTACTGCAGCCAGTCCAGAAACCGGAAGTAACCAGCCAGCGCCAATTCTCTTAAATTAGACATTCGCTGATATTTATGAACTTAAATTTGACCAAAATGAATATGAACACATTTTTAATACTTTTTAAGGATCCGAGGAACATTGATATTGTAACTTTCATGCGACCTCATGTCGTAAATATGGAGTATATAAACAGATTCCAGTAAATGTTGAAGTGATCTGTCCTGTGCGTTTGAACTCTACCTGTAGCTTATCTTCGTAGTTGATTTCCTCTTTGGAGGATCTGAGTTCCTGGGTTAAGTGGAACGAATGCACCACATGCTCCGGAGAGACGAAGTCATTGATCACCTGGACACAGCTGTGAAGATTCTGCACCTGTACGGATGAGACACACACACACAGTGTGCACTGATGAGACTACATCATAAAGATGCTGCCGGTACTCTGACTGGAACTTTAGCTAGTACAGAAAGAGGAAGCGTGCCTGTGATTGGTTCATCGCCTTCCCTTGATAACATGCAGTATGTGTAATTGCAAATAAATAAAATGTAAATATTCCTATAAAGCCTCAATTTTGTTGTACACAACCTACTAGCAGTCTACAATCAAAGTCAAAGGCAAGTCAAAGGCATTTTTATTATAATTCTAAAACTGTCTTTTTGCTGTGAAATCTTTATATATATATATAAATATATTGTTCATAATATTTTAAGATGAGACTGAAGCAACTTAGGTTTTCTTGATGATCCATACATTATTTAAAAAAAAAAAATCATTAAAATGTTAGTATCAAATGATACATTAGGCTTTTGAGGTCTTTTATTTGTTCATCTCTCAATCATTATAGTATTACATTGCATTAAATGTTTTTCCTCCGCAATAAAAACTACAGGATATTTATCATTAACTAAGCATTTAAATATCATCTGACTAAAAGACATATTACTGGGGATGTAGCATGAAAACTGATATTTGTATGTATTTTATGCAAGTAGTCTTATAATCTCATTGCTATCACAATCTCATCTTCCTTTTTGGCCATATAAATATCAGCAACTGCATTAAAAAAGTGTATTTTCACTGTATGAGCTCCATATTCTCCTACATCATTCTATATGAGCCAGATCTAACAAATATGATACTCAACATATATGCACACAATTTTGTTATATATATTTTGTCTAAAGGTTCAATAAACTGTTCCATTAAAAAAAAAAAAGACAGAATTTCTATGGTTTCATATGTCAGACTTTACAGGAATAAAGTAATTTTTTGAAGTAATGACATTCAGACATTAAGTGTGGCTTTGTTGCTTTCCATGTCAAATCAAGTGGGCTTTTTTTTGTCTGAATAATCAATACTAAAATATATACTTCAGAATCAAGAACATATGATGATCTGCTCATTGCAAAAGAGGAAGGAGTGCAACGAGACCTGGTGCAGAGCTCCAGCTGGGATCAGGACTGAATCTCCCAGAAACTGCACCACAGTCCAGCCCTGAACGGCGTGTTCATCCAGCAGACGCTGACGCAGCTTACGGCTCAAGTACCAGCCCGGGTCACGGATGGGGTCGTGATCCGCTGGGATCTCCACGCCCTGCTCTTTCGCCACCTGTCACGTACAAAACTTTGAGTTAAATCAACAGTACACACACAACATACCTGCAAACAAATGAAATGAATCCTATAAAACTCCCTTGTGCTAGAAGAACGCAATGTTTCGGGAGGAGAGACAGAGAGAGAGAGAGAGAGAGAGAGAGAGAGAGAGAGAGAGAGGAGTGAGCGTCGCGCCTCAGTGATCCAAAGCATTATTTTCAAATCAAAATTACCTTGTGCAGGAACTCTTTAATCTTCTCGCCGTCTTTGCTCGTGTAGATGTGCCACAAGGCTCGGGAGTCTCGCTGGAGTCCTTTAATCTTTTCTTTACGTTGTCATCCAGGTCTTCCTCCTCCAGCCTCTTCAGCACTCCTGTGTGTTTGGCACAAACACATTCATGCGGTTACACAGCAAACAACACATCACACAGTCAGCTTCATTTATTATAAAGGCAAGGGAGCGCCTTCCCTCCTTGAAGACAGAGCGATGTTTAAACATTAATGGAGAAGTGTGTGTGTGTGTGTGTGTGTGTGTGTGCGCGTCTAGCACTTGTCGTGGTTTAAAAATAGAACGGCCATC